AAGAACTGAGCTACTGTACCCTCATACCTTGAAAACGATGGGCAAGTTCAGGGTATATATATATATATATATGTGTGTGTGTGTGTATTTGGTCGTCAGCGATCCCTCTTTTATACAAGCTTCATTGAAAACAACTGACAAAATACAGAAATAAAGTTTTTTATTAAATTTTTTCATGCTTTTGTACAAGTGATTTCTTTTCTGAACATAGAATCTGTAAAAACTCCCCAAGTGATCTGTAGATCTGAGTGCTTTTGACTAATCTATTAGCTACCATCAAGGATTTTTTTGTCTCACTGAATATGCAATTTTTTTTATGTATATATAGTGATGGGAACATTTTTAATTTCTGTACATGGTCAGCATATTTTGGCCATATTCATAACTGATGTTATTGAGAGTTGGCTTCTTTTTTATTATTAATGCTTCCATCATTTTGAACCTTTTTTTGCATGTGAATAAATCTCTTATGATCATATTTTCTATAAGTATGTTGTAGACAGAAGTTGGTAGGTCTTAAATGAGCTGTAATGGAGCTATGATTTGTGAAATGCAAGGTAAGTCTTCTTGATAAGCATCAAGTAGTATTTCCAATGGAACTGTGTAACTGTTCAATCATGAATAATAATTACATTAGACAAAGCACTGCAGAGAAGAAACCTGCCATTTCCAATACTTCCTAATACTTTAACCTGAAGCAAAAGAATTTATTATAGCTCTCCACAACTTCATATTTTGTGTGGCTCTTAGCAGTTTTTCTTCTTTGCTAAGGATCCTTCTCCATTCTGCCATTCATTCATACAAGCATGTCAGGTAAGCGACTTGCTACCTTCCCCATCTTTCTTACCCTCAATATGCCCCACAAGCCTTCCTATCTTATTATGTCCAAGGAATTTCAGCTCTCATTTCCTGATTCTGTGACCTTTAGTTTTATTTATTTATATATTTTTATATTGGGCTTTGTATATTTTTCTATCCCAGTGTCACTCTGTTAGAATGCTGTACTCTATATTCTATAATAGTAATAGCAATTCAGATCTGGTTGTAGTAAATAAAAAGAAAATATACCAAATTGAGGATTTTATTGTTCCAGCAGACTGTTGTTCTGATCTAAAAGAAAATAAAAGTAGATAAGTTTACCTTGTCATGGAGCTGAGGGATTTATGTTAAATGAAGTTGACAGTCCTGCCAATCATTACTAGATCACTGGGAACATGTCTTGCAAAAGGACTGAAGCAACTTGGAATCAGAAGTGTTGTAAAACCATCCAGATAACAATATTATTGAAAAGATTCAGAATAGTAAACAGAATACTGCAGCATTGGGGAGACTTGTTGTTATTTAATCTCTTGTGTAAGTTACCAGATATTATTGGTGCATGCAGTCAATGAGTGAATACTACTACTAATAGTAATAATGGATTCAAAGAAGACTATTGCAATAATAATTCATGAACATGATACTTATGTTGAATCAGAATTCCATCAATCCAGGAAATGGCAAATGAGTTGCAACTTTACAACACATCTTGGACTGGGGTGTGAAGAAATTTAAGTGCTATTTTGTGCTGAGAGGAAATCTCTACAGAGATGAAGAAGTTTTCTGATTGGATAAAAAGCTATGCAGCTGTGCTTAACTATAAACTTCCAGATCAGATATGACCTTCATCTTTGGAGTGGAAGAAACCAGACAGGAAGGAATTCCAGCAAGTTGTTATAAACTGAAACATTGTTGACATATTTATTTTCAGGTAGAGTTATACAAAAATTACATTCCTAGATTGTGTACACAGTGACTTCAAAGAAGAACAATAATAAATCAAAGGTGAGGGGATATCTTTGATTCAAAAAAGATGAACAGGATTATTTAAGATTTTACAAGCCTGAGAAAAAGAAAATACTTTTACATTGCTTTAAAGTCCATGCTTTTTAATGTTATATGGATAATTATTTGAAAGTCTCCCATTTCATAATGGATACTTACTAAGTTTAACTTAGTCTGATGCAAGGCCATGAATATGTAGCATCTAGTAAGGATCAAATTCATTACAACAATAATGGCCTGCTAGATGAACTTATTTACCACTTTATGGTAAGGCATCCAATTCATTTCATAATGACACAAAATAATTTTGCTCACCTGTTGTCTGAATGGCTGAAATTAATTATTTTTCATTATTAAATAATTTTTTTATAGATTGATTGGTTTGTTTTTATGTCTTATCAACCTTTTGCAGGTTATTTAAAGCCAGAAATTATTTTTAGATTGTAAGAAGTTTTTTGGAGATATAAAGGATTTACAGATATAAGTTTTACTAATTAACCCATAACTGGATTCATGCCTTTCCCAAAGTTATTTGGACGTAAGTGAATATAACAAACCCAACTCTCTGATTTCCAATTCCAATCTGTATTCCTTTGCACCACCTGCACATCCAAGCTTACAGCACCTGGTATTCCCAAGCATTTACCGATCTTGGTACTGACCAGGTTTGATGTACTTAAGTTTAATATAGCCATAAGACAAATTTTTTTCATAGAATTTTGAATAAATCAATGAAATGTCATGCCAGTTTCTTTTGGACAACATTATATCACCTATGACCACTAATTGTCCAGATTTGGCTCCCAACAATTTCTGGCTGTCACCATTGAAAGGTAGAGGATTTTAGACAAAAGTTGAAATTATGGAAAACCTGGAGGAGCAACTGATCTTCTTTATGTGCCATATCCTTTCACAACATAGGCGATCATGGCTCTCCACAATTTCCTGTTCTTTGTAGCTCTTAATAAATTTTGTTATTTCTTCTAATCTTTGTTCTGCCATCCATTTACTCAAGTTCACTAAATATGTTATGCATTGTTTTCCTCTGTCCCTCTTACCTTCAATCTCTCTTGTGAGTATCAAATTTTCCAAGCCCTCTTTCCTCATTATGTGCCCCAGAAATTTCAACTGTCTCTTCCTGATGTTAAGTACAAGTTTCTTTTTTGTTTCCATTTTCTCTAAAACTTTGTTATTGTTCACATATTCAATCCATGGTATCCTCAGCATCCTTCTGTAGAACTGCATTTCTGTTGTTTCAAGTCTCTTCTTCATCTGGGGAGAGATTATCCAACATTCACTGCTATATAGAAGGATGGATATCATATAACAGTTCAGCACTCTTTTCTTTGTTTCTAATGAAATTTTTCTTTTTCTTTATACTCTGCTTAGTTTTTGAAATGCATCTTTAGCTATCCCAATATGCCTTCAGATTTCAGTGTTGCACGTTGTCCTCTGTTAAAACACTTTCGAGATATTTATATTTTTTTTACTTGTTTGATTTTCCTATCTCCAATTTGCAATTCACACTTTGGGCTCATACTTTTGCTAACAACTATTCTGTCTTCTTGCAGTTGGTGTTTAATCTTTTCCTCTTGCTTTCCTTCACTATCTTCTGTAGAAGTTTTTGTAGTTTTTTTTTCTGTGTCTGCTATCAACACTGTGTCATCTTCATATCTATGTTATGATTGTGGCCAAAATGATGAATCCTGGTAGAATTTCTAATTTCTCTAGTGCTCCTGAAAGAGGACTTTGTAGACACTGGAATGGTTGCCAAAATGTTTGTGAAGTTCCAAAGGGACTATTTTGAAATGTGCAATTGACTACTTCTTAATATTAAATATCACGATCATTTCCAGAAGAACCTTGTTAAGGTCTATAAACTCATGCAGTTAGCAATACCAGGTGATAAGAATAGCTATATGAAATACTCCTTCACTTGAGTTACACTGGTTTGATGACAAGACTGAGGAAAATGGATAATCTCGTTTCATTGAAAATCTAATATTTGTGATTTTTTATTTTCCATATTTTTCAGTTTTTGTGTTAAAAATAGGACTGAATGTTTTTTTTTCTCATTCTGTAAACTTAGAATGGTTTCATGTACAGAAAATATTGGATAGCCCCTCTGCTGTACAAACTGTCAAAAAAAGAAAGCAATTTGTTTTAAGACTAGCAGAGTACCTATAAAAAATAACAGCATTTTTTACATAAGTACTGTTACATCGACTGTAACATTATAAGTGTAGAATAAAGTAGGGTAATTTAAGGTTTAGGATAAGAAAAAATACATCACCTCATTAATAAATAGCCACACAGGTTATTGCACACGCACACACATATATATATATTTCTGAACCATAAAAAAAAAGAAGAAATTTGGTTTTACTACAGAATTCAGGAAAACAGAGAAAAAAATTGGAAGCTTATTTTTAGGGAGACAGAAGATGGTGATTGGCATTGCCTTTAATTTTTTGAAGATTGTAGGTGTTAGGGAGGCAAGAAACTTGGGTGGTTTTACTGCCATGCTTGGGGCGATACTGATTAAAAAAATGCTGAGAATACCATGGACAGAACATGTGAGTAATGAGGAAGTTTTATGGACAATAGGAACTACAAAGAAACTGCAGATAACATTCTGAGAGAGACAGCTAGAATTCCTGGGACACATAATGAGATTGATTGATTCATTTGTTTTTTATGGCTTATCAACCTTTTGCAGTTTATTTAAAGCCAGAAAATATTTTTGATTGTAAAGTTTTTGTTTTTTTTAGATAACAATTACTAATACAAGTTGTTATGTACCATATCTATGAATACTAATGGGTATGTCCCAATCCTCATAAATACGTTGGACACTATTGTAAGTGGGGTAATATGCTGTCTAAGTAGTTCACCACTCGCAGTGGTTTACCGCTGGCGAATATTTTATCTTGTTGATGTTATAAAGATTACCATTTCAATTCCATCTTCCATTTTGGTTATTCCTCATTCAGTAACTCTTTCTAGGTTACAACACAAGTCTTATTATTTAACCCACAGATGGGGGAGAGATTGATTCATACCATCCCAATGGTATTTGCTTGTAAGTGAATATAATGAACCCAACTGGAACAGGAAATCAAGTCTCCAATTTCCAATTCTGAGCCATTATTCATTACACTACCAGCACATCGAAGCTTACAGCACCTGGTATTCCCAATTGGTCACCCATCTAGGTATTGGCCAGGCTCAATGTTGCTTAACTTTGTTGATCAGATGAGAACCAGATTTGGTTTGATTTACAGAATGGGTTATTTAATGTTGACATGATTTTTAAGATAGGTTTGTATGCATAGAATATGTATTTCTATGTAATCAGGTTTCATTGACATATTTTTGTAAAGAGGGTTTTTGTTAAGGGTCAAATGTATTGCTAGTATTTTTTTTTTCAAATATGTATTGCTGATATTTTCACCATAAAAATCTATTTTTATACTTTTATAGTGTTTTGACACCAGTTCAGGGGTTTAACTATTTGCCCAAATCTGGGACCCTGATAGGTGCTACCACCCCAGGTCAAGGTGAAGCTGAGAACAACAGCAATTAAAAAGTGGTTCCATGCTCCTTAAAAAACCTCCTGATCAGAGGCCTTGCTGCCAGACATAGTTTATCGTCATACCCAGGATGTTTAATGGCTGGTTGCTTGTTTGTGAGTACTACTGTCTGCTAGGGTGACTAGCTAATTTCTCTTGCTGATGTCTGCTCAGGCACATTTATGTTTCTTCAACACCCATGCCAACCTATGTTTTATATTGGAACTATGCTGAGCAAACATTTTCTGGGAGAGATTTCATAATCTGGTGTGATCAGAAATTTAACAAGGCTAGTATGTTCAAACCCTCGGTGATGATGATTTGTAACTTTGTGCTAGCACAATGGCTTCCAATCAGTCTTGTCTGCCCAGTTTCAGTCACAAGGCTTGGGTCAACTCACAAGGCTGATATCATCAAGTAGTCACCTTCTTGATAAATCAACTAAGGTGAGATTTGAACCCAGATTTCATGGTCAGACCACTAACATTCTAACCATTCAGCCATATGCTCTCTAAACATATATATGGTATGTTGTTGGCTTTATTTCATATCCAAGAATTTAATTTCTTCTCTCTTGATCCCTACCCTGATAATGATGGTGTTTATGATTACATTCACTGCCAACATGCAAGTTCAGAATTAGAAGTTCCCAGTTTCACCAAAACTTGCTCCAGTCATCCATTCCATATCACTGTTTGACTTTGCAAGAGTTAGGTGAAAGAAAATCAAAATGCCAATGGCATGAATTTGTTTAAGGTGAACCTTAACTTACCAGGAAGTGACCCACACACTTGATTTCATGGCCTTCCTTATTGTCATTTTAACAGTAACTGTCAACCTTGAGTGGATCTTTTTGAGAACCTTTTATTGGGTAAATTTTAACATGTCTGAACATGAGCCAAAGCATTCGGTCTATGGCTATCTTTAGCATTTTGACATATCAGTTAATGTGGATTCTAAAGAAATCAAGAGAAATTCTATTTTGTTACATACCTATTACCTGTCATGTCAGTTTTTTTAAAATTTATTTTAATTCCACAAAAAATAAATAAGACATCAGCTATTATAAACCATCTAGATATGAAATGTGTATGTGTTAATGTACACTTTGAATATTGCTGCCACATCTGGTCTGGTGCTTCTGCTATACCTTTAGAGATTCTTGATAAAATCCAACGAAGAATCTGCAATGTTATTGGCCCTAACCTGACATCTTGGCTTTGCTCACATTCCCACCACCATATTGTAGCTTCCCTGTGCCTATAAATACTTTCATGCTAATTGTTCTGATGAACTTTCCTCTATGGTATCTAGACTATGAATTTAAGCACAGTACTATATTGGCATTAGTGTCTTATAATTTAAGAGTTGAGATGACTAGATGAAGCTGCAAGTTTTATGTTTCTTCTCTTGTACTTCTTGCTTGTGGAACTCTCTCCTAGCTACTCTCTTCCCAGTGAACTTTGATCTTCAAAAGGTTAAATGTCAGTCATTATCTACTGACTTCTCAATTTCTGTTCTTTTATTGTTTTCTCTCATTAATAGTGTTTTGTTTTTTTTTCATATTCTGTAACACTCAGTAACTCCTTGCATCCTCATGGCTTTATTGCATTACTTGGGGTGAAATGATTTTTTTTAAATCTGTGTATGTTTTTATATACCTAATATTACCCAAAAATACAGGGAACTTAATGTGTCAAATAGTTTTCACAATGAGGAAAAATATAAATAGAAAATAAAGTTCTTTATTTCCTTGTGGAATGATTTCAAATGATGTGGGAAAATGTCTAGGGAGACACAAGAAATGCTGCATAACTTCACATATGTGAAATTTCACAAATTTTTGTGCAGCTATTCATACATATGTCTGAAGTTATTATGCAAATAACATAAACTGCAATAACTTTAATTTGCTTTGAACAATTTATGTCAAATTTTAAATGATTAATTTTGACATCAAAAGAAAGATGGATTTAAATTTGTAGGCAGTTTCAATAGGTTTTATTAAAGTTATTGGATTTATTATAAAAACTGCAGTTTGAAGTTATTATGCAAATTAAACTAAACATTTAACTCAAGCTTTGTTTTGATATCTAAATTAATCATTAAAATTTTACAAAAATTGTTCCATCCTAATTTGTGTTATTTACTGAGTAGGTAATTTGCCTTTTTCTCTTTTTTTTTCAGCATTGTCATTTTTATTCAAGACTGTATCTGGATAAGAGTTATGTTTTTCAAGTTGTCATTTGGTTTCTTCAACAATTTTTGTTTTTCTTTAATATATATATTGGTAAACAGTGACTATTATAGCTAATATAGCAAGACTCTTCGCGTAAGTTTAATTGAGTCACTGTCAGTCACTGGGCATGTTTACAAAAAATAAATACGCTAAAAAATCTACCTCCATTCCTACCGTGCGCCCGACGGCTTAGTGGTTAGAAGCTCCGACTGACACCAATTCAGTCGGGTTTTCGATCCTAGCTAGAGGCAACCGGATGTCTAGTCAAGACTGATGAGCTGTAAACAGCGAAACAGTCTGTCTGTGGATGACATTTATATATATATATATATATATATATATATATATATAAGTAATGAAAATCTTGGTAATTCTTCTAAACCCTACATCCATCTATGATTTCTTGTCTTTACTTCCCTTTTTTTTTTTTTTTTTTTTTTTTTTTTTCCCATATCATTTATGGTGAGTTGACCAATTAAATAGGTCAATGTCTAAACCTTACCCCCCTCCTCCTCAATATTAAGTATTCCAATAAAAATAAAAATAAATTTTAAAACTCTCCCTTCCCTATCTAATTTCAACCATGTCTCTCACACTATCCCTTACCATCTTCTATGTCAACTTATATAAGCTTAATACTGCCCTTCAAAAGTGTAAATTTAAAATTCATTTTTTTCCCTTGAAATTGAAGTCTGAAGATTCAGAGAAAAATAAAATCTCTGATGAAATAAATTATAACAATGGAACCTTAAAGTGGTCTGTTTTTTCTTTAAATTATATATATATATATATATATATATATATATATATATATATATATTTAGGCAGGAAATTTTCTTTAAAGGCAAATATTATTTAAGCAAAAGTCATTTTGTGTCAATTAATTTATCAACTTTCCAAAATTAATAATAAGCCTTCTCAAGCAAGGAGGAAATTCCATTGTAAATTGTCTACAAAACTACCAAAATCAAATGCACCATATTTACAAAACAGCAATAAAAACCATCATACATAGATATACAAAATCAGTCAATAAAAACAAATATATAAAATTTATTATTTGCTACAAAAAATTAAAAAATAACAACTTAGTTAAGATTAGAAATAATTAAAAATATATCTCAAATTTCCAATGTACTATATAAGACTAATGTTGTGTATGGATATACTTGTCCACTTGGAGAATGTTTCTTCATAAATAAAAAATATAAAACATCTTACATAGGATATACCATAATCACACTGTTATGGAGACTCACCTGCCACCTATCTGAACATAGTGCCATCAGACATTAATAAATGGCATAAGGATCATAGTAACATTAGACAACTTCTCACAAACAACCCCAAAATACTAGCAAAATCAAATAGCAAAAAACAAACCTATGATCCTTGAAGCAAAACTCATACAACAAAAACAATCATCTATAAATAAAAACAATTATAACATCCTCAAATAAAAATAAAAATAATAAACACACGTATTATACCATACTTACATCACAGCACTCACTAGTTCTATGAAACTCACAATTTGTCCCTACCTACTCTGATAATGACTTAACAATGTCAAATCTTGTACCATATTTCTTGTACTTTTGTTCCAAAATGAACTTCAGACAATTTCTGATTTTCTCCTTGTCTGAGAAGGATTATTCATAAGTTGGAAAAGTTGATCATTAAAATTAATCAACACAAAATGTTTGTTGTTTTTAATAATATTTGCATATATATATATATATATATATATATATATATATATATATATATATATCATCAATCACACATCCTTATCTCCTCTGTGGAAGTTAATGAAATATTCTGTTATTATGGTAACAGGATTTACTCATTGTCAATAAGACTATATGTCTTATGTTAACATCGTAACAACGGAATATCTCATTGGTAAGCATAGAAGATCAGGTTACTTATACACTGTAATTATTTCCTTTGTTTCATGTTAGATTTTCTTCATATTTTTCTTTTAATAATTTTAATAGTGAGATTCGAGACAATGGTAATGGCAATACTAGCCGTTTCTTTATAAAGTAATATTTAGTATTCATTGGCCAAGTATTCAGTACTACAGTCAGTTGAAATTTATAAAATCTTTCTATAAAAACAATTTTTTAGGAAAATAGGTTTCTCCAGTACAGTAACTGTTATCACTCTTTCCAGTATTGATGGGAGTTTCCTTCCTAACCTTTTGTTTTTAATAATGTGAAATGTCAGTATCTTGCTTATGTCATTAGTTTCATGTGATATCCAATTTTAGTTGTTGTTGAAAGTCTTCAAGTCATGTGGTTTTTGTTGTTTGGTACAGTTCTTTATGATTCTGTAGTGCCAGTCCACAATGTTCAGAAAAGGATAGTCTTGTGTGTTATGCCACTTGACTTTACTAAAAACCGCCACTAGGGGACACTTCTTAAGCCTATAAATAGGAAATGATATTCTC